GGATATAAGTACATGGATTTAAACCATGTTTTAAAAATTATATTAGTATTTAAACAACCCACTAAAGTTGCTCAATAAGGACTTCTATGGGATGTTTCCCAGATTTTAGTAGGTTTGGGGCTAAATACTGTATCTCAATTTGTCCTCATTGAATTTGACCACACAAGCCAAACACTTTATCAACTTTCTGTTTGAAATAGGCATGAAGAGGTTTTTTTTAGTAGTAACAGTTACAGTAAACAGCATTTGCAGTTATTYCCCTCACTTCTTGAAATTGAAATGAAATGATTCCAGCTGCTTGAGTCAAAGAGCACTCACACACAGCCTGCACAACTGGACATTCTCAGTAGTGGCTACCCCAGTTTTTGTCCCGTATTATTATTGCGTCTTTTCTACTAATTATTTCCAAATTTCACCTTTAAGTGCCTCAGATCCTGTTTTTATTTATTTATTTTTATTTTATTTTTCCACAAAAATCATTCCTCAGACTGTGTTTTAGTGCTTGTGGCTTCCAGACATCAGTTTTTGAGCTGACATCGGCAGTTGGGTTCATCGAACTGGCTCCATCTTGTGGCCCAACGTGATTCATGTCCACATTAAAACTAGTTGCTCAAGCTCCAGGTACTCAACAATATCCTCAGAATAACTGTAATTCTCATAGTTCTTTGTAACTGGTTTATGTTCACAAAGGTTTGGTTAATTGTTTTTTTTTTKTTGTTTTGTTTTTTTGTGCACGGGTAACTTTAATTTATCCATAATAAGTTCTTTCACTGTGAGACCTCATCCCTTCAGGTTTTTTTTCATTAACTATTCTGCAGACTAAAGTTTTTTAAGCTTTAYGTGAAGTTGAAGCCGTGCTGAAAGGATATTAAAGCTCCACTTTTTTTTTTTTAGAATTTAGAGTTTAACCTTTGAACCAAACTAATTCAGACACTTTAAAATTAAAAGGAGAAAAAAAATCTCTTCTTGAACCAGCATCGTTACATATGTTTGAGCTCTTATTTCCCAACCTCTGCCCCCTTTGACTTCCTGTTCATCATCACTATATCAGATTTTAGCAGATCACTTCATTCAGAGCTTTAACCCACATTGTAGAGCAGAATATTTACTGAGGGGTATTTTGCAGCATTRTCAGTATTAATACATGTTTGTTTTGTTACATGTTTGGATGTTTATCTGGCCATTGACTGGCTGTTTTGAAGTGTAAAGATGGAAATCAGAGGAAATAAGTTAGCTCGTTCAATGCACTTTTATGATGGGACGTTTCCATTTGCGGCATCAGTTTGGAGGGCATGGCTCCTTCTGGAAATGAGAAGGGTACAACGTAAGAGTGGTGCAAAAATAAAAAAAAAGGGTGTGTAGAGGAAAAATGAAAAGGGGGAAAAGTGAGTTTAAAGATGCTGGCTGGGCTACCAGAAACGCAGGCAGTCTGAGTGACAGAGAAGGGACCCTCCTTCAGAGCAGGATGTTTGGCTTTTAATCTGAATACGAAAATAAGAAAGTTATAGGTGCATTTTGTCACCACCATATTTCTCATTATATGCACAAAGCATTGATCTGCATGCCTACAGTTGGTTGCACAAAATGTCATGTGTTATTCCTTTAAAAGAGCCTTGCTTGTGAAATAGAAACACACCTGTCACGCCACAGTTTGTACTGCCTGAGAAAAGTTGCACCCATTCTTCGAGGTTGTATAATTGTGAGGAGTCAGTATTTTTATGGTTGGAAAAACAAAAAAAATCCTCCACTGAAAGATGTACAGTTGAAAAACAAAAAAGAAAAAAAAAACATTTTGTACACCTTTGTTGATGTTTGAGATAAAATTGAAAAAAGATGAAAACATTGAGGAATGTTCCATTTTTCTGTAAAATTGTACCTCTATTTATTTGCCTTATTTAGTTTGCTTTCTTTTGTATGTACACACAGCATTACAGCAAAAATGTTCTATTAAAAATATAAGTAATTGAACTGTGGTCCGTGTATGATGGATAGTTCTGAGACTTGTAAAAGAATGAACCCCTTTTTCCTTGGCTATTTTTATTTTTGTTTTGTATTTTTCTCACCTCTTGTCTTTTGTAGGGTTACAATAAAACTTTTGTCCCTGAGAAGTGAGTGATTTTCTGCATTTGAACTGTTCGTTGGAACAAGTGTCAGACTTGGAGGTGAAGTACACAAAAAGTATATATGTGAACGAAAAGAAAAAAAWTTTAAGTAATGTAATAAAGACGATCATCTGTAGTTCTTCATTATGACCAATAGATGGCAGTCAAAACCAACTTTCTACAGGCAAAACCAAAACAAAATTAATTATCCAGAATTGTTCTGCAAAATACATTAAAGCAGTACATACAAAATATTTTGTTCAACTCTACATACCTCTGTAGCAACAAATTCAATACTTAACTTATACTCTTACTTCAGTGCGTGCATAAGTTATGAAGCAGGAACAAACACCTCAGATATTTTTAAACTGGTATTTTATTATTTGCAGCTAGATTTTTATCTGCACTACAGATTTTTAACACAAAATGTTTTTAAGGCATTCATACAGAGGAACAACTACAACATTCTGGAATGGCCATCTCAGTTCCCAGATATGAATATTATTGAAAATCTGTGTTGTCACTTAGAGAGCTGTCCATTCTCAGAAACCATCAAACCTGAATGAAGTAGAGATGTTTTGTAAAGAAGAGTGGTCTAAAATACCTTCAGCCACAATCCAGACTCACATTAGAAGCTGTAGGAAGCGTTTAGAGGCTGTTATTTCTGTGAAAGGAGGAGCTACTAAATAATGAGTTAAGTGTTTATTTTATTTTATTTTATTTTTTTGGTGCCTAAATTTATGCACCTGCCTAATTTTGTTTAACCAATWATTGCRCABTTTCTGTAAATCATATAAACTTCATTTCACTTCTCAAATATCACTGTGCTTGTCCCCTATATATTTAACTGATTTTTAATCCAACCAAAATGATTTAGAAAGGTAAATCAGGAAAATTAACAAGTGAGCCCAAACTTTTTCATATGACTGTCAAATAGACTGATACTACTTGTATACACATTTTATTAATTTGTAAAGAGTTAAATATTACAATGGACTATTCCTGTTTTTACTTAATCATTCATCCTCCAGTATAGGTTTGTGAAAGTTTAAAAACGTCTTTAAGTAATTCATCATCAAAACTCAACGGTGAACTCAAAACTTCAGACAGCGGTTACATTGCTTATAAATGAATTTATTAGTAAAAAAATGCAAACACATTCATGGTGAGGTCATTTACAAGAATGCACATTAAAGACAGTCAGGAGAGACTTTTTTTCTTCACATTCAGCATGTAAACAGCACTACAGCTGTTCATTTAGAGCTGCAATAAACAATACAGAGGCATGGAGKTTTAAAACTTGTCTGCCACCTAGAGGCCTGTATGACACAGATGTTAAATTTGCATTTTAAAAAAACCTACAGGAAGCATGAAAATCCTTCAGAAACAGTTTTTATTGATTGGTTTGACGCAGCCGTCAACTCAAAATCCACATTTTCAAAACAGTTAGGGCAGAGGTCTCAACAGTGCCACAGTGGTCAAAATGACACATTTTGTTTGCAAAAGGCACTAATTGTGCCAAAACATTTAAAATATGGAACAAAAGCAAATTTTGCCTTCAAAAAACTCAACTTTGACACAATGTATGARCACCTCCAATCAATCATTACACWATGGGCAACAAAATACAAAACACAGCCCTCGTGTGAATCAGTGCTGTTTGTAGTCAAATTTGCCCTCTTGCCAAAAATGCATCCAGAAGCAGATATGCTTTGATGCAATTTTTTTTKATTACATTTTTTTAGACTGTGCCTGACAAACAACAGAGAATACATGGAAATAAAAATAAAATCATTTACTGTGTGAGAAATGAAGTAAATAAAAACAGTCTTTTACAGTAAAGAGCAAAAATCTGCAGTAGGCATTTACTATAAGAGTATAAGAGAACACAGGCCTGCAGACTGATTGCAAATTGAAAAATTCTGTGAAGAAGTGTCAAACAGGTGCTTTTGGTGTTTCATACTGATCAGGGAGTTTCTAAGAGCTTGGAGCAGATGGTTTCTGTTCTGTAACCACAGCTAAAACGAAGGAGTTTGGACTTCTTGAATGACATCTGCATTAACTGTTTTGCAAAAGGGTGGAAAACTGTGTCAATCCAATGAGAATGGGTTAACACATTTGCAAGAGGTGTCCTGTGCTCTGCTGAGATGGTGATGAAGACTGAGAGGTTCCCAGTTTCTTCAAACGGGTCAAAGCAATGAATAAAAACTTTAACATGATTCACGTTATGAACCAATCAATTATTAGTGGAGTTGACAATTATAAGAGGGATAGATTCTAAATCAGGTATTTTAAGTTCTAAAATCTCAGGATTGGTCAAAGTTGTTTCTGCAGAGCGGATGYTAAAGTGTGTCTGAGTTCATAAATTAAGAAAAATAAACCTTGYTTAAAACACAAACCTACATTTAACAAGCATTTAGAAAGCAGAGTCATAAGTCAATCATCTTGTATGAACTGGAGAAACTAACCATGAAAAGTCCATGGATATCAGTGCCAACTGTGTCATGTTGCTCACAGGTCATTATTCACTCAGCTTTTCCTGCACTGGGTGACGGTGGAAGTCTCTCTTCCCGCCTGTCTTACTGACCAGTTTTACATCCGTGATGGTGATGTCGTGGCTCACAGCCTTGCACATGTCGTAAACAGYGAGCGCTGCGACGGAGGCCGCCGTGAGCGCCTCCATCTCCACCCCCGTCCTRCCTACGGTGCGGCAGGTCGCGGTGACGAGAACGGCGTTGCGCAGCTCGTCGAGCTGGAAAGTGACAGAAGCGTGGTCTAAGGGCAGCGGGTGGCAGAGCGGGATGAGAGCGGAYGTCTGCTTTGAAGCCATGATGCCGGCCAGCTGTGCCACGGTCAGAGCGTCGCCTTTAGCCAGCTGGTTTTCCCGGAGCAAGCGGAACGCCACGGAGCCTAAGATGAYGGTGGCACGGGCTGAGGCTGTTCGACGTGTGGGAGGTTTCCCCCCGACGTCCACCATGGTGGCTCGGCCCTGGGCGTCTGTGTGCGTCAGCTGGGTGTCGCAGTGAGTGTCGGAGGCTGACGCAGGTTGATCGCTCACAGACGGTTTGAAGTCTTTGCTGGAGCTGTGATTGTGAAACACCCTAACATTGTGATAATTAGGATTCATTTTGGCATTTACTGGTAGTGTGCATAAAGAACCTAGGGTCCTGAGAAAGTGGCTTTTCACATTATTGGGGCCTAAWGTTTGTGCGTACCTGAGAAAGTTTCCATTAGTGACGCTCATATTTGTGCGAGTCATAAAACTTCCAGTCTTAGTGTTGCAGCTGGCGAGGATTAGACTATTACCAAGCTCTGACGACTGAAGGGGAGCTACATTGTGGCACTTTTCTTTGCTGATATGCATTTTAACTTGAGCGCTACCACTTCTGGAGGTTTTAAAGCAACGAGTCAGAACTGCGTGTGTTGAGGTTGTGCAGTCTGGAAGGCACAGAAGCTCCTCTCTGTTCAGGACTCGCCAGCTGCCTGAACAGGGCGCATGAGGAGCTGTAGTTGGATAAAAGGATGTCTCATTCTTAAGGACGATGGATGAAGCCTTCTGTCTGTTTTGTAGTTTTGAAAGAAATGTCTTGGATGGGTCTGTTTGAAAAAAAAAATTGCTCAAGTACTTTAAGACATCAAAACCCATTCTAGTGCAACAAGAGCAACCRAAGCAACTGCGTGTGAAAGATTTTGTACGTACAGCCGAGTCACCCACCAATGAGGATCATAGGTCTGTTCTTCATCTGGGAGATGCTGAACATGCCTGAGTGGGAAACAAAAAAAAGATTATCTTGATATACTGTATATATAAAAAAAAAACAATGAAGTAAACGGTGAGGATGTTCTGTGTGCAGTTCTACCTGCATGTTGTTGCTTCTTCCTCCCCACAGCAGCTCCAATAATCTGCAGCAGCTCCTCATCAGACGCTCCAGAGCGCAAAACATCCCTGAGGGAGACTTCAGAGTTCCCGAACAAACAGACCTGAGAGATAAGAACAAGTCAACAACACGATCAATGATGCTTTGAAATTTTAAGGAAAGGATTTTTAATTTGAGTGAAGAAAAAAAACTCAAATTTGTTCTAAAAAGCAAAGCAACCTACAAAAATGATCAAAGGCACATTCAAAACTTAATACAAAAATATCTGAAACTCCTTTTAAAGTGCCTGTGACATCAAATTTTTGTAATAAATGTGAATGCACTTTTGGAAAGATAATGTGGACAACATATTGCAAAAGCAATTTCACCCCACTGAGATGAACAGTTGTTGAGATATTTGCATGTGAAATAACAGGAAGTGATGTCAAAGGGGAATGTCTGCAKGTGAACAGAGCGTTGCTACAACAGCTAGCAACACAGACAGAAGGGAATTTTCTGATGTTTCCTTTAGATAATTTTAGTCCCTATAAGAGACAGATGAAGAAAAATTAGAGTTCAAATAATATTGTTTTAATAAAAAGAGACAAGAGAGTTTTCTTTCTTAAAGAGTTCCCCTTTGATGTCACTTCCTGTTTCATTTTGCTGAGCCAAATTCAAAGGAAAATWTGCCAGCTATGTGACAAAATGGATTAAATCATGTGTTTTATGCTAATTTTCCTAAATATGAAGATATTTTCTTAGCTTATTTGAATAGGCACTTTAAATTAGATGACAKTACATATTAAATTTATCCAATGTGTTGCAAGAGTAGTTTTTGTCAGAGAGTTTTTATATGTGAGGCTTTACCTTGAGGTTTCCATCTGCCGTGATGCGTAAACGGTTGCAAGAGCCGCAGAAATTCTCCGACATGGATGTGATGAAACCCAGCTGACCACTGAAACCTGGAACTTTAAACATCTGGAACCAAATAGAGTTTGTAATGAAAGTTTTAAGAGGCAGACATACAAATTWGATTTTGTTGTATAGATAGTTCACATTCATTTTCTCAGACGGAGCCTCGAGTGTTCCTGGCTTTAGTTTTGTAAAAGTTTTTATTTCTTTTTCCAGGATAGTCAGTTGTAAGTCAACCTTTTAGAAACRCCTCATTGCCTGTTGGAGATACTGACCTTTGCAGTATCTGCAGATCCACCCTGAAGCCGTTCCAGTTTGGGCCACTGCTGCCTGATCCGGTCCAACATCTCCTGGTAACTCACCATCTTCTTAAAGTTCCACTTATTGCCTACAAGAACAATAAAAAAAGGAGTGGTTGTTTATTTGTTTGTAGGTGAAATTTCAGGTCAAACAACAATGATAACCTTTCCTGAGCAGAGGAGCATCGTGGGAACTCACCATCGAAGGGCATGTATTCAATGAAGCGCACCTCCAAGGGTTTCGTCTCTGTCAGCGACACAAAGTCTAAGAGTTCGTCCTCGTTGAGGCCTCGAATCACGACACAGTTGATCTGACAACACGATCATTTTCTTCACAAACCTTTCATTTAACTATTCAACAGCTCGACACGTTAACAATAGATAGAGGATTTTCCTACAACTGCAACTGAGACATCCACCAGCAGATGTCACTCAAGTGGAGTCTTTCCAGAGGAGGTTTGGCAGGCTTTCAGAGCAGCTTTGTTTTATTATTTGWTAATAAATGTGACAATCTGAAGCATCTAAACACGTATGGGTAACACCTCTTTGAAAAAGGAAGTTCCAAACACACCTTCACAGGACTGTAGCCTAATTCAACAGCCTTATTAATGCCCTCCATGACTTTGTGGAACCCTGAAATAAAATAAAAAAAATAGATTAGACAAGATATAATTAATATTAATGCAATGCTTCGATTATTGAAATGGGTGTCACTGAGTTAGGAAACTTATGTTGTGAAGTAAACACAGAAATAAAAGCAATAATCCTGTCTCTAACATGTTCTGCTTCAGCTTTAAAAGCCTTCACGTTAGAATTGCTCCTCTTTGTTCAGCATGTAGAAGAATATAAACATCTGCGACTAATCTCTCAGCAGCACTTTTACTGACAAACTGTCAAGGTCGTGCTCATTATTTGTTCTCATAAGCACAACACCAACAACTCCAGGTGCTGACTTATCTTACATAGGAGAAGCTTAAATTTAATCTGAAGCTCCCACAATGGTAATTAAACATCACATTTGTTGTTTGACTCATCCTAAATAAGCACATTGAAATCTGAGATTTAATTCAGGCTGCATCTAATGAGGCTAATCTTTAAACATTTTAATAAAATAAAAATGAACACAGACAGCTCTGTTTCCATAAGTCAGTCTTTTATTTCTCCTCTCCTTCGTTTCCTAATCTCAGTCTGTCCATCTGCRCCTGCCTTCCTAAAGCCAGACCCCCAGAGCCCTGCCCTGCTGTTCCCTCCACCACTCCGTGTGTTTGAGGCATACARCCTTTTTCTCAAACCAGAAACCAGGTGAGGATTATCAACGATAGCAACACAAAAAGCACAGAGTTTGGCTGCTCACGGGTTAACATGATCTGCAACAGCAGAACARACTAATAAAGGACTCTGAAGACAAACAGTGCAGCTTATTGGACAGCAAACATTTAACTGAGATCACAAAATRACCTATTTAAAGTATTACATGCTAAATATTATTTATTACATTGTAAGCTTTACTYCAGCGTCATGTTGTGTCGTACCCTTTCTCCGGACAATGAACTCAAACTTGGCCGGAACCAGGGAGTCCAGGCTGATGTTAATCAGGTCCAGACCAGCTTCTTTCAGGTTTGGCAAAAGCCTGGATAAGTTAATACCGTTGGTTGTTACTGCGACAGTTTTCAGGCCCTCCAGCTTCTTTAGTTCAGCTGCAAAAAGAAAACACAAGGAAATGGCATCAATTCATTGCAGTTCCTGGATTAAAAAAAAAACCAACTAACATAAAGCTAACAGATTTTCTAATCTATGATAAATAACCCATTTGTTTCATGACRACCATTTAAACTTTAGTTTAGGTCATTTTGACCAACAGTGGAATGCAGACAATAAATACATTTTAAACCTGAATGTACAGCATTTTGACTTTAAAACTGTATATTTATAGATAAACAAGAATAATTAACTCCTCTTTTTCAAAAAGCCCTATTGGTTATAAAACATTAGGTCCTTCTGTGTCAAATTAAAAAAATGTTTCTTTATAGAATTGACATTGAAAAAGTTCATTAATAAGTAAGACTGTAAAATTTTAACTATTTCATAAAACACACAGGTGTGTAACACATCCTTCATTTCCACACATTTGTTTTAACATGAAGGAATGCAGTGAAAATCACTTCTTTACACTTTAGTTCTAATCTAGTCAGGAGGTTTAACACGTGAACCTCTAGACAGAAAACATTTGTAACAGTTTGCATTTGCCAGAAGCTGTAGAAAATACAAAATCACTTAAATAAACGTAAAWTTAGAATTGTGTGAGCATATATTGCATAAAACATTACAGCTGAATTATTCAGCCTATATCGACTGATTTGTCCATCATTTTCTTACCGATGATTTCCAGTACATCGGGTCTGATGAGGGGCTCCCCACCAGTCAGACGGATTTTCTCCACGCCCTCTCGCACAAAAAGCCGAGCCAGGGTCAGCACCTCAGAGGTGGAAAGCAGCTGGCCTCGTGGCGTGAGCTTCACTCCCTCCTCTGGCATGCAGTACTGACCTGAAGGAGCGAAGCATCGTATGTGAGCTGCCACTAAAACAGAAACCAGCTTTTTTTTCTTTTTTTTTTTTTGGATATGCTTTTCTCCTGAGGTGGATTAAAAACAAGCTGAACGGTAGATTTTGCAGGGGAGGGATCACAGACTCACAGCGGAGGTTGCATTTCTCAGTCAGGGAGATGCGCAGGTAGTTATGTCTGCGGCCAAAGCTGTCAGTTAAAAACGCTGAAAATGGCAGGACGTTGTCATCTTTCAGCCTGTCCTGGAGAAGAAAAATATGAAAAAAAAAAGGCCATTTAAACCAAATCTTACACAGAAACAGATAATAATGAGTATCAGGCAGCAGCTCATGTCACATAACAGCAGAATTAACCTTTTACAGCTACTAGTTTGAGTAAAATCACACACCACTCATATAGGGTCGTAGCTATTTCCTGTCAGCATTCATCTGAACACTTTTGGTCCTTAACATCTACTTTTTTAACTTTTAGTGTTATTGGTATTTTACGTCGTGAAAGCAATGTGCAACGCTGCTGATTTGGATAATTGCTCTGAAACCTAAAAGCAGTTTAGACGAAGTACAGTTCAACTAACTGGAAGTTGACATTATGACAAACTGCTGACTTTGCATTAGTAACTCTTGGTCAATAAGTCATTTTAAACAACTCATGACCCTTCACACTATGAATGCAGTTATGTAATAAAGTTTTTAGGACATTATGTGCCTCAATAGTTGACATTTATTTTTTATGTATTACTGACTTCCGGTCAGCTGTGCTTCAAGCGCAAACAGCTTTAACTCAAATAATCTGTCACATTGTCCTTACCACTTTAATCCCATGATTCTGATTTAATGCATTAAAGTCTTGGGTCCTTACTTCAGAAAATCTCATCCCATGCTAAACCCAAAACCTTATGTGCTAACGACCTCTTTAGTAATAAGGAAGTTAAATTTAAGAAAATAGGTTTTAAAAACTATTGTGTTCGTTTTGATAATATGCACRTTTTCAAACTTTACATTTTCTGCATGGCCATAAATATCAAACCTGGTCCTTTTAATTTAACACAGCACCTGAACCGGAGGGACTTTGGACCCGGCCTTGAKTAAACGCAGCTATTTTCTTCCACAGACGTACCATTGTTTGTTAGTGTTAGTCTTACCAGTCTAGAGCTGGTTTTCTGAGCTGCAGTGAAGTTGGGAGCAGTCAAAGTGGAGTCTCCGAGTTCAATTGTTTCATTTTCCTTGTGCGTAGCACTGGAGTACATCCGCCGGACGCTTCCATTCACGGACCGAACGAAGAGTTTCTGGATATTTCTGAAACTGTTGTGTCTCTCAAACAAGCGGCAGCACATTCCTGTAGAAGTAGCCATGATGGTAGGAATTTTTGACAGCTCAGTACTCGGAGCGAGCTGCTACAAGTACACTTCGCTGCAGCATGCAGAACGGTGCGGTGACAGACCTTTCCGTCAGTCCCATACCTTATATGGAAATGGGA